AACCTTCACTACCAAAATATCCACATTTAGTGACTAAATTATTAATCATTAAATCTTTATTCTTCGTTACAAATTATTATTAGTGATAAAATTTAAATCGTTAGTAAAACTCTTGTCACTAATACTCTTAATGACAAATTAGGCATCTGTCATAAAAAATAACTTTATAGTGATAAAAAAAATTAACATTATTAACAAGTTATTCATAACAATTTTATTCGTCACAAAAAAAATATTCGTCACAAATACAATTATGGTGCAAAATTTAATCATTAATTATTAAAATTGATATTAAATAAAAAAGATATTTATATAATTACAACACAAATATTTTAACAAAAATTGTCACAAAAAATAATATATAAATTTATCACAAAATTTTAATAAAAAATATTATTATTTCAATGCTAATTAATTTTGATTAAAATTAATCAAACTCGATTAAAATTAATCAAGCCCGCTTAAAATTAATCAGGCCCGATTAAAATTAATCAAGCCCAAACTAATCTCAAGTTTTATTGAGTTTCACATGTTTTATAGTGCAAAAATTTATTTTCTTAAATATTTCTTATCGATGTGGGATATATTTATAGTATAAAACCTTATTCTCTTATATGTTTTTTATCGATGTAGGATGTATTGATTAGAAAAAATTGATAGTTTTTAGTGATGAAATATATTTTTTAGTGATAAATTATTTGGTCATCATTGAATGTGTGAGGTATATGTAACGAATATTAAAATTTTGTCATAATTGTAATGCATTATAGTGATGATTATTATCGAAAAAAACTTATTTTATCTGTATGAACATTTTTTTTTACGAAATATATTTTTTATGATGAATTTTTTTGTTTATCATTAAATATGTATGCATCTGTGACTATTTTTTTAGATCTGTCACAATTGTGATAGGTTATAGTGATGATTTCAAAATTCATCACAATTTTCTGTCACCAAAAATCATTTTTCTTGTAGTGCTTATTTTATAATTAGTTAAAGATTACACAGCTAACTTGATACATATATATATATATATATGTATGGATCATCCGGTATCCAGAAGCTCACTAAGCCATCGATTAATTTGGATTTGATCCAGACGGGACTCAATAGGTGGCAAAGCTCTCCCTCACGAGTTTTAACGGAACTGTATTATCAAAACTTGAAATCAAGATCTCTAATTAAGTTGGAAGAGTCCCGACCAACTCATTCACCCACTCTCGTGAGTGCTAACTTGATACATATTGATCAACGACAATTTGACATGTTATTGGAAGTGAATTACATATCTATACATTGTTTTTAAAGGGTGATGATATGAGAATAATTTTTTTGTATTATTTTTTTATATAACATATATATGTCAGTAAATGATATTATTAAATGATAATTTGACACATTATTAGAAGTGGATTACGTATATACATTTTTTTTAAATGAGAGTGATATAGAAATAATCTTTTTGTATTATTTTTTATACAATTTTTACATATTATTAAATGATAAAATTACAATATTATATGATATTGTAATCTTATGGTAACATGGCATGTAATAATATTATTGCTTCTTTTTAGTTAAAGTGCTAACAATATATTATATTATATGTATTTACTCATTTAATATTATATTATTATTGTAAACTTACAATCATATATAATATTATGAGGTTAATGTATATCAATTTTGATTTTTAAAAATAATTAAAGTTTTAATTTATATTTAAAAATTAAAATCTCATCCTATTAAATATTGATATCTAGATTTAAAAATTAATTATATATTTTAATATAATCAATTTCTAAATCTAAATATCAATATTTAATAAAATAATTTTTTAAAATTTAAATTAAATTTTAATTAAATTTTAATTAAATAAAATGATATAATTTAAACTTATAACTCTAAGTATTTTTAAAGTCGAAATTGATATATACACTTTTTCATAATATAATAATTATATCACTTTTTTTTACTAGTAAAAGCGGAGTTCATACTAATTCATGATTTTTATTGTTCTTACTAGCTAGAGTCAAATTAATTATCATTGGTTGATCATATATAATACTTAGCTGCTGATTTGGTCCAAAGGTTATTTGTAGGAGATCCTTTCCAAATATATATATATTTTTTTGAACATATTTGCAATGAGTGGATTTCGAACCCAACCTGAGGAGGGGAATGCACCGGCTGGCTATTGCCATTAGTTCGCAAGGGCCGGGTGCGATCCTTTCCAAATATATATTTGTTGTAGATCTGATTGATGACATAATATATGAGAACTAAAATCTTAAGCGAATCTCAAACCCAAGAAAAAGAACTAGCTAGCCCAACGTTCTTGTATTTTGAGTTAAAAAAGAAAACACGGATATGTTATGTTTCCGTTGATTATTCTGTGACCCAGGAAATGGTATCACGGCTTCAAGGGCAGAATGTGATAAGGTAATTAGCTCCACCAGTGCATGTAAATGTACTGGTCTTATCATCATAAGCGTAGCTATAGGCCTGAGGGCATTGGCTCTTGAAAATCTGTGAATACTGGGTGGGCGGGCACGTTTCCGGCGACCCAAATGCACCGGTGCAACAAAACTGAGGCTGATTAAGTGCCACGCACGCGCTCTTGCACCCCACGACCGTTCCCACCACAGCTTGCAACTCCGGCGGACAAACTTTATTAATATCCGCAGGGCAGCTGCTGCTGCTACAACCCTGATCTCCGCCTTGTGGTGTTATGGACAAGGGTAGATTAAACCCGTCCACGAGGCTAACGTCGTAAAAGTCTTGTCCGTTGTTAGCCGCAATGTAGAATTCCACAAGGGATGCCGGTGGGATTCCGCCTAAGCCGTTGCACGTGACCTGATTGGAGGTGCAGTCACCGGTGGCGCACTTGAATTTTCCGTCAGAGTTTGTGCATCCGGATCGAGCCCATATGCGGCCGGACCATGGGGCTGTGACGCTTAGGGAGTTTGATGCGCCTGTGGGTAACTCGAACCCGGTTGAGGACAATGGAGCGCCTGAACCAGTTAGGGTCGCGGGCCAAATTGTGAACTTGCAGTTGTTCTTGATCGTGAATATAGATGATTGTGCCCCTGCAAACCATGATGGAAAAATGGAAAGATATATATGATTTTCATGTATGAAAATAGAAATTAGAAGAGGAAGAAACTTAGAAATTAAGGGATTTTACCATGGAGGAGGATGGAGATGACGAGGGTGATAAGAACAATTCTCGGATTCTCCATCAGTAGATGCGTATGATATTTGAGTAGAGTCAGTAGACTCCTATTGAAGAGGATCTGAGTTTCAGAGCGCACTAGGGGAACTAAATATAGACATGTTTTATGCTAATAAAATCAGGATATTAAATCTAAAGATTTGATTTTTCTGATTTTTCTAAAACAAATTAAATAGATGTTGCCCCATACTTAATTAGAATTAAGTAGCTTAATTAGTAAGAAAAAAGTAACATTCTTTGTTTGAAAAAAATTTTAAAAATTGTATCCTTATTTGTATGCTAATCTTTGTATTGTGGTACTAACAAAATTTGGTTATTAAATTCCCCAATTACTACTCCATATTACATTCAAAGTAATAATATGACAATAAATAACTGATGAGTTATTTCTTCCTATATATTCTGTCATTCTTTGGAAAAAAACCAAATGTTTGAAAATTCGATTTGAACTTGTGCTATTTAAGGATGATATTTAAGTAGGATATGAAATCTTTTTTGCGTGTTTTGTTAATTATTTTGTAGTACTCTTCTCAAAGGCTAAAATTCAAGAGTTTTGTTTTGTTTTTTTTTGTTTTTTTTTTTTTTCCTTCTTGTTGTAAAATCCAAGAGTATTTTACTCCTTATCTACTTTAGCAATGAAATGAATTTTCTTTTACAAGAAAATGAAATACAATAAAAACATAGGAGGTTTAGCATTAACATTCTAAAATGCTTGAATTATAATTTTTTTTTTTACAGAAAAAAATGATTAAATTAAGTGTTAGTATTTTTACTTTGTAATAGAGTCAAATCTTGAATTTGAATGCATTTCACTTACTGCTCAATAAACAGCGTAGTCACCACTAAACCACAAAAAATCACTACTTGTATTATAACTTTAAGTTCAAATCGAGAATGTGGTATTATAATTATAATTAATTTTTTATTTATAAATTCACTTATAATACCTTATATATTTTTTATTTAATAATATAACATCCTCAATAAACAATTCTAAGTGATATCATCGTTACATAAAATTTGTACTTTTTTAGTAATTTAAAGATTTTATGCTGGTACTAATTAACTTACCCAAGCCTTTGTCGAGAAAGAATCGAAGTGAGTGGCTGTTTTGCTTCTGCATCACTGAGATGAGGAAGTTAGAGAGAAGAGAGATGGAATTCGCGGAGCTAAGAGAAGCAATAGAGAAAATGGAGCTGGTGGACGGTCATGCTCACAACATCGTCTCTCTGGACTCCAGCTTCCCGTTCATCAATTCCTTCTCTGAAGCCACCGGCGACGCCTTATCCTTCACTCCTCACTCTCTCTCCTTCAAGGTACCGCTCTAACTTTCTCTTCTCATGTATACAAATTACTTTCTTTATTTGACTCCATCGCCACCGCGACGGTGCCTTCGCCTTCCTTCCGCACATCACTCCTTTCCTTTCTTTTATTTTGGTTTATTTGTCCGTGTGACCGTACAATAACGTTTTTACTCATTGGTTTGTTTGTGTGGCAGAGGAATTTGAGGGAGATTTCTGAACTCTATGGCACAGAATCATCCTTGGATGCTGTTGAAGAATATCGTAGATTATCTGGATTGCAAGCCATTAGCTGGAAATGCTTTAAAGCTGCAGGAATCTCTGCTGTACTCATTGATGATGGATTAAAATTGGACAAGATGCATGATATTGAGTGGCACAGAAGTCTTGTTCCATTTGCTGGTAGGATATTAAGAATTGAACGCCTGGCTGAGCAGATTCTTGATGGAGTAAGATGCTCTCTGATTTTTTCTTACTCAAATTCAAATTACATGATACTGCAGACATAATGAATTTGCATTTTTACTTGGAGATGGATTTACTCTTTCACTAACCTGTCCTATGTATTGATTAATTTTAAATTGGAGAAAGTATGCCATGCCTGGTTTGTTATCAAAAAAGGATTTCACTTTTTACACTCCTATGGATTGCATCATTCATAACTGATTGTCTTGTTCCTGACCTAATCATGTCATTATATAATTTATTAAGTTCGGCTGTGTGAACTGAATGCACACTGCAATATTGCATTGGGTAGAAGGAAGGAAGTTGCCATGGAGACATGGTTTGATCAATTTTGAGTTTTTTTACCCTCAGCTACTAGCATGAAATAATGTTGCTTGGATGATATCAAGGTGCCTGCAGTGCTGAGGATGACAAATTGGACATGGTGCCATCCCTTTAATAAAAGAACATCAAGAATAAGCATTCTGTGCATGAGGTTCCACACATACTAGCTGTGTAATAAGTTTGCATAGTAATGACTTACATGTCCAGTCCATTCCTTGTGTGTTTCTTTTCATGACTTGACCTTTTACATTTAGAGATGGCCAAGTTTTATTTGCATGTTACTTTAAAACCTCAAGGATGGAATCGTGGAAGCGAAGGTCTTAACTACCACATATTAAGTTGCTAATTTGGCAGCAAATCTCTTTATCTCAAATTGTCTTGCTAATTTTTGGATTTTAATGAGAAAATTTAAATTGATCTTCTCTTTGTCCTGCTTTTCCATCTTTACAGGAGCCAGATGGATCTACTTGGACATTGAATAAGTTCACTGAAACTTTTGTTAAAAGTTTGAGGTCATATCCTTACAACAGGTAGTTGTAGATATTTTCTGTTAGTCATCTTGTCTGCATCATAAAACAAGGGACTCAAACTGGCCCCTTGCATCTTTCAACATCTCATTTATCTTATTCACTTGATCTCTTATAAATAATGGCGGTTATTTCTAGTGGGATTTGATTGTAAAGTGGCCAATTGCCTTGTTGCTTTTAAACTCCATTTCTGTATGCAATTTATAAAACAAAAGTTTGAATTAAAAATGATGTACTTTGAGGGGAACACCAGTGTGTGGAAAAGGGCAGAAAATGTCAGTGGGAAGGATGGATAACAGAAAAGCTTGTTTTCTTAGTTGATTTCCTTAACATATACCACAGTGGCTGATGGGATTGTTGGCTTGAAAAGTATAGCTGCATATCGAAGTGGTCTGGAAATCAACCCTAATGTCACCAAGGAAGATGCTGAAGAAGGTCTTTCTGAAGTTCTACGTGGTTGGTATAGAATGTAAATTTTGGAATTTTTGTTGTTTATGAGAGATATGAATATTTAAAATTTCTAATGACATTTATTCCAGCTGGGAAGCCTGTCTGTATTACAAATAAAAGCTTTATTGATTATATTTTCATTCGAAGTTTGGAGGTTGCAATATGCTATGATCTTCCATTGCAGATACACACAGGGTAAGAGAAGCTCTTGATATTCTAAAATTGTATTTTAATTATTTTCTTATTTATGGCTGATAAAGGAGATGAATCTTGGTGCCAATACCTATGTCAAGAGGTGTCAGGAGGTCTAAGTTGTTTCGTCATTTGAATTTAAGTTTTTGCTCCTGAAAATATTTAGTGCATGCTGGGACTTGTGATAAATTGAGCTGGCCTTGCCCAAGTCCTTTCATGAATTTCTAAATAGCTCAAAACGTTCCAAGTTATCTTTTGTTATTCTATAATGAGCTAAAGGCCATCAAGTTAAACTCGATTTGCTTTAATTTTTCTTGGTACTTAATGCTTATGTTGTTTCCTTTTTCTTACAACTAGCTTTGGAGACAAAGATTTGGATTTACGGCTTTCAAATCCTCTTAATCTTCGAACTCTTCTAGAGGACAAGAAATTTTCTGGGTGTCGCATAGTTCTTTTACATGCATCATACCCATTCTCAAAGGAAGCATCATATCTAGCCTCTGTTTATTCTCAAGTACGAATTTCATGCATCATTAAATTGCTTTTATTCTGTGCAATGTTCATGTTCAGCTTACCAGGGTTCCTTCATATAACTCAGTTGATTTACTTTCAGGTTTACCTAGACTTTGGTTTGGCAGTTCCCAAGCTCAGTGTTCATGGGATGATATCCTCAGTAAAAGAACTTCTGGAGCTAGCTCCAATAAACAAGGTGAGAACATTGTCTGAGCAAATATCAAGGATAGTGTAGTTATTGCACCATAACAGCAATTGATGGACATGGACATCTTCTAATCAACATGTTCTGTAGAGGCTCATACAGCAAAAGTAGTGAATTTCTTTCTGGGAGATAGCTTGGACATAATCAAACTAACCTTTCTGGTAGGAGCTTATGCAAGAAATAGGTCCTTTTAAAAAAAAAAAAAAAAATTCAGCCAACAGAAATAGTTTTAACGTTTCTAATCACTATCAGTGCTCTAATCTTTTCCTCCACTACAGATTCATCCTGTCAAATTGCCATTTGCCTAGATATCCTTTATACATTAGTGGAATTTGCCCCAAATTTTCTGAAATGGTTTTTAAGTGTGAGAATATGAGTTTTTTGGTTGGACTGGTTTGCCTTTTAATTTCTCGTCAAATGCCTTAGTCACAAAATGGAAGGTAAGCCCCCCAATCCCCATCCCCCTGCCTCATTTGCATAGACCGGAATCTAGATTGTAACCCCTCATTGAAATTTGAAAAGAGGAGGTTTTTCATCTGGCCATGAAGCTATGGTCATGGTTTGCAGCTTGCATCATGTGCATAATTTTGTTGTATTGCCCTTATATTGTTTGATCTTAAACTTGGGAAAACTTGCAGGTGATGTTCAGCACTGATGGTTATGCAGTTCCAGAAACTTACTACTTAGGTTCGTTAAAAGATACAAATTATTAAGATATATATGGGCTCCATCACCAATTTCTATTTGTTGTTCTTTTCTGCTTACTTATTATGGATCTTTAATATCAAGTTTCATGATGCATTTTTTTTCTCTTTTCTATGTGATGTTTAAAAACTTGATCAAATTATTGATTTGTTTTGTTACCTAGTACATTGCTGAGGTTTTTCTGTACAGAATGATACAATTTGTTGAGTGTACCATTAACTTCATTCAAATCATATTTCAGTAAAATTTGGCTCTATTATTCCACTGCTTGTGGTCTTTTATATCATTCTGACTAATATTTAATTAAACTGTCAAATAAAACAGATGAAATCATGTTATTGTGATATTTACATCAGTAAACTCAAGGCCAAAAAAAAAGAAACCCAAAGGAATAAGTGGTGTACAAAGTACAACCATAATGATTGTTATACTCTGTCTGGGTGCAGTAAGGTGTTAGTTGTTTTGAGTAAATCATTTCAGCCCATCCCTTGTCATTCACAAAATTTGTTTCCATATTACTGATATATGTGGAAGAACTGATTAATTTGTTAGAACATTGGAATTGTGTATACAATGTGAAAGATGAATTACAATATGATTTTTAGTCAAGAATTTACATTTCCAAATTTACTGTAAGTATGTTCACTATCCAGATAATTGCCTCAAAACACTGCTGCTTTTCTTTCAGGTGCCAAAAAAGCACGTGAAGTTATCTTTTCTGTTCTTTGTGATGCATGCATTGATGGTGATCTCTCGGTTGCTGAAGCCATGGAAGCAGCTAAGGGCATCTTTGCCCAGAATGCAATTGAGTTCTACAAGATTAAAGCAGGTCTGAAATCTGCAGATCTAAAGGCTAGTTCAACTCCTTGCTTTGATGTGGAGAATGCTGTAGATATTGGTGCTTCATTTGTTCGTATTATATGGGTGGATGCTTCTGGACAGCACAGATGCCGTGTAAGGTTTCTTTTCCTTAGCATTAATAAATGGTGATTTGACTCAGAACTCCA